TTTTTTGTGGCGTTATGATGGTACTCATGTCTCTCACTTATCCCAACAAGTTCGGCTTCTTTGCTTCCACGTGTTTTGGTTCGTCTTCGATCAAAGAATCTGTATCAAATTTTGTGTGAAAAATAAAATTAAAAGTGCGTGGACAAATTCCGAATGTTGACTGTGGCATATGGTGAAACTACCTCGGACCGGAAGGAACGTTTATCGATGGTACAAAATGTTCTCAGAGGGCCAAGAAGATGTGAACGACAAAGAGCATGGCAGACGTCCGAGCACGTCAACAACAGACGAAGTGAAGTGAAAAAAATAGTATTGGCCAATCGTCGAATCACCGTTAGAGAAGTGCTGAAGACACAAGCATATCGATTGGCTCCTGCCATTCGATTTTTGCCAATGATTTGGGCATGAGCCGCGAAATTCGTACGAGAATTGCTCAATTTCGACCAAAAACAGCATCGCATTAACATTGCTAAGGAGTTGTGGGACTCTGGCCGCGACGACTCAAATAATATTTGAAGTAACGAGATAAATATCCGTTTTTACTAACTTCAGCCAGTATTAATCATACTGTTTCCTACAGACTGTTAATGACACACACACAATTTTAAAATAATAATACAATAAGTCCATGTCATTCACTAATTTTCGAAAAACACACACTAACTTGAGATTATTTTCGGACGCCATAATAGTTTTCTCTTTTTACCAAATCTATCTCTACTATCAATAACAATGATCACGTTAGCTCAGAGCCGGGCAAACTCGGATCTTTTGCATCCCGAGTGATCCTCAAGGTTAACCAAGTAGCTCCTCATTGATCCTGCGAGTGCGAGTGAGATGATTCTTTCCTTTTCTTATCCCTTCCATTTCGTAGATGAGTCCCCTCTTCCATAGCCAAACCCAATAGTTTTGCGAACGTAGTAACGAAAATTTTCGTAGGTATTATTTAAGTTGCGAGAGTGGCTTCGCTCGTCTACGGGATGAAGGGGCTTGATATGGG